CTGATCTTTTTCTTTTGTCTTTTAATGTATTCCTTCCTCACTAAATTAATCATGTTCTAATATCGTATGACAACGTTCTTGCAAGTAGGTGTACTTGCAGAAAGAGTGATTTAGTAATCGGTAGTTTAATATCAATCATCGATGGATATCTTTTCAAGGTATTATTAAGCGGCGACTTAACACCTGCTAGTAATATTCATTTGTTTGTTCTAATTCATTCATCTTCTTGTAAATTAATTAAGCTTGTATAAGTTTCAAATTAAGTTTTYACTGAAATAGCGAGTACTTGTTCCTCACATTTCGCTACTCATCAACCGTAGAACTATAGAATTACCTAATGTTTTACCGAATCATCTTGTCTAAATCCGAGTTTCGTTCTGTGTATTAACGCTTTTGTAGAACCTTTGCGATTCTGATCTTATTCGTCCAATTAGTGCTTTCTTGAAGTCCGTTTTAAGGAAAGTGTAAAGTAAAGGGTTCATAAGGGACGTAGCGAACCTCAAAAATAACCAGAATTCTGCAGCAGGAACTTCGATGCCCAAGTCGTACAGGACAGTGAAGATGAAATACGGAAACCACCCTAAGACAAACGTTATGATCATCAGAGCAAAGACAAGCACTGCTCGGTGTTCGCTTCGCTTGGACGCAACATCTTCTGAGACCTTGTTGGCTTGTAAGGACTCTGGGATGTTGTGTCTTTTGATTTTTTTGATCTGTATTCGAAGTACTGTGAATATCTTGGAATAAATAAAGATCATGAAGCAGAGGGCTGGAAGGACGATGCCACAGAAGGTAGTGAGACTGTATGATAGGTCGTACTTTACGGCCTGGGTTTCATTGATGACCCAGGATAACTGAATTAATACTACAGTAAGGGAGAATACCCAGACACTCCCCAGCACAACAATGATTCTTTTCTTRGTGACCAGTTTGATGTAGTACATCGGATAAACGATCATGATGAACCTCTCTGTCGATACGACCATCAAGTGAAGAATGGTCGATATGGCTATGAAGCGCGTCGCGAAATCCATAGCAGTGCAGTCCAAGTCCGCCGTGGTGTTGCATATTACAATAAGAGGAATAGCAACAATTGAGGCCAGCAAGTCTGACACGGCAAGGTACACTAAACAAAAGTTGGTCATCGTTCTTAGGTAACGGTTTTTCTTGTACAGATGAATCACTGTAGAGTTAGCTACGAATATGAGAAATGCCAAAATACCAAGAAAAATGAAAGTCACCTTTACCGAGAGACTAATCTTTGGAGAGGTTTCGCTGTTGCTGTCGCTGTAATTCTTCGCTAAAGAAGCAAAAATTTTTTTTTTTTTTTTTTTTTTTTTTTTGCTTGGCTAAAGTTTGCTTATCCCTGTGCTTTGAAATTCGTATAGTTTGATCCAAATTGATTCCTGTAAGAAAAAAAAAGCAAGTAACGTCACAAATGCGATTTCCCGCTCACTTAACGTTCTGTCGGGCTTGTGTAGCTTGAGGATGTTATTAACGTTTTAATATCCGGGAAATACTCATTTCAAGTCACCAAAGCTAAACAATCACTACTAAATTGTTTTGTAAGAAGTTTCAGCTAACACTCTTCCCAAACGTATAGTTAACCAATCAGGGAATTGTTTGTCCAGCCTTTAGAAAATAAAGAATGGTATTACAGGGAAAGAGATATAATACGTATAAAATAGATTTCGACGTTTCGATGACATCATGTCATCATTATCAAGAATCTAACTGAAAAAAAAWATTTACTTACGTAATATAAATATTATTTTTAGTTAGTTTCTTATGATGTCAGGATGTCATCGAAAAGTCGAAATCTATCTGTGTTAGTTTTTGTGATTAAAATAGATGGAACGAAAAAAAAATGGACGGTAAATCAAAATCGTCTGGTTCAAACTATAAATCGATTGTTATCAACTGTTGCGCGGGTCTCCTAACCCAGAGGCTATGGAAATATGCTCAGACTACACTTTAATTATTAATGCCTATTTCAAAATTTAAATGCACTAAACTCCAAGTCGCAAGTTGATTTTAGCGRAGACCCAAAAAATAATAATTATAATAAAAAAAGGAGAGCGGGGAAAAAAATTCGCGACAAGGGAGAGAACAGCCTGCATATCAAACAAACTGAATCRATCATTTCTCTTCGGCATGCCCTCGATCGTCATAAGATTTGTTTTCAATTTTTTGCATGATGAAACTTCGTTATAAGAATAAGCTAAGAGCTTATAGATRCTTTTAAACTGATTTTCATCAAAAAGAATATTTGAGTGAAGTCAGCAACACAAAMCTTAAAATAAAAATAAAATACACTGTTAGAATCTAGAATAATCCGAGCACATTATATGAAAAATACAGTTAAATTGACGCACTAGTTTTGCGAAGGGAGCGAGAATAAAGTTGTCCAAAATTCGCTCTGAATTAGTTTGGTTCCACCTTAAAAGAGTTGAGTTTGTCCATGTTCAGGTTTAGTTCATCAGCGAGAGCGTTCCATATTCTAGTTGTCCTGCACTGACGTACTGCGTACTTGACAACATTACTGTCATTACTATTATGCCCAAACTACTCCATTGAAAGGGAATAGTTAGGCATAGTATTATTCAGATCTGATTAAACTGCGATAAAAATTGTCTAAAGTGTCAACACGATCTTCCGGACAGCCGCCACTAATAGCTGGAAACTGTGTAAGCAATATGGATTTACTGTCTGCATAAAATGGTATGACCATGAACCTGAAAAAGGAATGGACAACGACACAGCAACAATCCTATGGGACATGCAAGTACATACGGACAGAACCATCACAGTTAATAGAAATGTGGGGTATGGAAACAAAAACCATACCTATTGTCATTGGGGCATGCACTGGGGCACTGGGGTTAATTCACAAAGGACTAGAACAATATGTCAACCATTTAAAAGGGGACATCTCTATCACAGAAGTACAGAAGATTGCTCTCCTTGGAACTGCACGCATCATTAGAAAAACTCTCATGATTACTTGATTCTTGATTTCTATTTTCCCTTTAAATTGATTTATTTTATTTTTTATTTTAATTACACCTTGTACTGTAAATATATTCTTTTATTCTTTTAATACTTCGCTTGTGGAAAAGTTTGAAAGAGGTGACATCAATGAAAAATGTTCCCGATATTTCAAGTATAGAGTCTGATGGTGTAATTCATCATGATCATGAATCGATAGCACACGTTCTCAACCGACACYTTGTTACTATCGGTGTAAAATTAGCAAACAAAATACGAAAAACTTTATCTGTTTTAATATAATCAATAATAATGGAGATATGCCACCAACTACCAAGTTTTCGTTTATTCCTATTACTGAAGAGTTCGTATTAAATGAACTGATACATCTAAGAACTAAYAAATCTATTGGGGGCTAGATAACATAAGTGCTCGTCTGTTAAAGGATGCGTCAAGTGTAATCTCTAATTGTCTGACTWACATTTTCAATTTCGCTCTCTAATTTCAAGTACTTTTCCATCAACCTCTGCTTCAACCTGGAAATGTGRTAAAAAGTAACAGCACTCTTCAAGTCTGGTGATAGATGTATCCCTGGAAATTATAGACCTATTACTGTATTACCAAGCTTGAGCAAGATTCTTGAAAGAGCTGTACACAGACAGCTATACTCTTACTTGAATGAAAACAAGCTTACTCCTCCTAAAAAGTTTGGGTTTAGGCCCAAATTAGGCCCTATTGCGAACGTCGCCGATAAGGTTCTTTCTTACATGGACAATGGCTCTTTAACTGGTGCAGTATTTATTGATCTGTCTAAAGCCTTCGACACAGTGGACCACGAATTACTTATCTACAAACTGCGTTMTCTTGGTCTTGGTGACTTATTTGTACGGTGGTTCATCTCTTATCTTGGTAACAGAAGCCAAGTTACTTCTGTTGCCTCTACTTTGTCGTCCTCTGCTGCAGTGACTGTTGGAGTACCACAGGCAGTATACTTGGCCCTCTATTATTCTTAGTTTACGTGAACTACTTAGCAAAGTATCCACTTCAAAGTGAGGTCGTCCTGTATGCTGATGATACTGTTTTATATTGCTTAGCCAAAATTGTACGTGATCTGGAACACAAGCTTAATGATTATCTGGGTTTGGTTGCACATTGGTTCAACAGGAATCTAAACTACTCACTATCAACACCTCAAARYGCAAATTTATGGTCTTTGGGAGTACAAGAAAAYTGAACAATATTGGAACTGTTGATATTCATATAAATGAGTATACACTAGATAGGACAGATACATTTAAATACTTAGGAGTAATATTCAATCAAAATTTGACATGGCATGACCTTGTCGATTATTTAGTCAAAAAAGTCAACCAGAAAATTGGTTTGATAAAACGAGTTAGATATTTATTACCTTGTTCGGCACGTATAA